AGGTAAGCGTGATGTGCACGCTTACGCGCAACATATACGACATCTCACGAGTTGTATAAGTTACAATCCGGTGGATGAACACACGATGGTTTCGGTGTTCATGCAGGGTCTTGCGGATGGTCCCGTCAAGACTCACCTGTTCCGGCTTGAACTAGATTCACTAGAACAAGCCATCTTAATTGCGGAACAGGAAGACTTCAGTCTGAGACAGCCTCGCGCCAACTCGACTTCATATCGTCAACCGAGACGATATGACAACGGAGGTCCAGAACCGATGGAACTCTGCTATGTGGAGAGCGAGAAGGCTCGCTCTACAGGCTACAAGAAGTTGCAGAGATGCAACAGATGTCAAAAAACAGGACACTACGCTTACGAGTGTAGTGCCCCTCGTCCAGTGTCTCGCAACACTGGGCGTAATGACCGTCCACCCATGAGAAAGTGGCAGGGACGTGGGTCCGCTGTTGGTACAAAGACGCAACAACGGGATGGACCGTCAAAAAACGGTCAGGATCAGTAGGTGTGGAGCACCCTACTGATCCAGCAACGTCAAGAGAATTTGTAGGCCTCTTGATGAAGGTTGCTCCCAACGCACAAACGTTGTGCGTTGCTGCTCTAGGTAATGAGGACTCACTCATTACCTTGAAACTCGAAGTGACGAATAAGTTGTCCCGTTGAGCTCTAGTCGATTGTGGGCGTCCAACAATTTTGTGCAACGCCAATCGCTAGAAAATGGTCACTTCAATTACAGTGAATGTGACACACCTCCTATGAGGATGACGGTACGTCTTGCGACAGGCGTATCCGTAACCGTCATGAAGCGTATAGTGAAGATCCACTATACGCTAGAAGATACCAAATACGACGATGACTTTGTCTTATTGGGTGTGGATGACAAATTTGATGTCATCCTTGGAATACCGTGGCTCAGAAGGTACGAACCACGAGTAAACTGGCAACATTGAAGAGTAACGATGCCTGCCGCTTGTTCATCAGATGGCCATGTGATGAACGTTTTGGAGCGTCCACAAGCGTGTGTATGTACTACGAAGGAGTGCGATGGCCTCACTTGTGGTACGGTCGTTAGTACGACTGCACAAAACCTTAGTGCAACAAACGGTTACACTTCGGAGCCAAGTTCCGGCGGCTGTGAGGAAACACAGGCTGCGCCGAAGGTCCACCACTCGAATAAGTCGAGTGGACCGGGACAAAGATGTATCCCTAGTGGGGAACATCTAGAAGAGAAACCATCGATCGCTCAGGTTAAGCGAAACGATAATCCTAGATCGACTGGAGAGTCTTTTGTAAAGGATCTCGCTGTGGTTGCGCAACCACAGCTAGAGGAAGTTAAGGGAATAAGTCCCGATATTACAGATACGGCGGAAACGAGTTCCCCGAAACCCGAGGGAATAAGTCCCCGGGAAGCCGAAGGAATAAGTCCTTCGAGGCCTGAGGGAATAAGTCCCCAGGAAATGACAGAGACATTGAATGTCCTAGTCATGATGGATCAAGCGTGAGCGCTTATATACTTGATCTGATCGCGCCTCCGAAGTTGACTTCGGAGATCACTCAGTTGCCAACGCTCGAACATAAAAGGTTCTTGCGTGATCTGCGTAGTGGCAAAGTCAAGCAGATCTGCGTACTCGTCGCTGACGACGAGTGTGTAGCCGACATAAGGTCAGCTATAGTGTTTACTGAGAAAGAGAGAGTTCTCAGTAGTTCATCGATGGACGAGAGTGTACTAGATGAAAAGACACGAGTTGAGCGATATGACTCCCAGTCGTGGGAATCGCTCAAGACAAATCCTATGTAAGGATTTGGTTGAATTCAAGGATGTATTCCCTGAAACTGTTCCGTGCGAATTACCGAAGGAGAAAGGTATTCGACACGAGGTCGAGCTTAAACCAGGCTCGAAGTACTGTGTCATGAAGCAGTGGCCACTGCCTCGTGAACAAGTACTTGCGATCGACAAGTTCTTTGCCGATCGTTTAGCCGCGGGCCATGTGAGGGAATCAACTTCCCCACATAGCTCTCCGACCTTCTGTGTGCGAAAAGCAACAGGAGGGTGGCGGATAGTGCATGCATTTAACAATTTGAATGCTGCAACGGTACCGGCTCAGACGCCGATACCGAGGAAGGACGTAATCATTGATGGTATGACAAAGCGTACCATCTTTTCGTCCATGGATTTGATGGATGGCTTCTATCAAATCCTTATGCGAGAACGGGATATACCCTATACCGCAGTTAGCACGCCTAGCGGCATGCTCTGGGAATGGCTAGTAATGCCACAAGGGCTTAGTAATGCCCCTGACACGTTCAACAGATGTGTATCACATCTGTTGAGACCAGTACGAGAATTCGCGCCGAATTATTTCGATGACGTAGTCATCCATAGTCGAGCTATGGATGGAAAGTCGGACGTAGAGGTTCACAGATACCACGTCCTACAGGTTCTTACAATCATGCGAAAGCATCAATTGTATGCAAACCTCAAGAAGTGTATCTTTGCAGCAAGCGAAATACCACTTCTTGGGTGCATCTTTGGTAAGAACGGTGTACGTCCTGATCCCGAAAAGATAAAGGCGATCACCGACTGGCCTGTGCCGGTTGATGTCAAAGGTATTCGGAAATTCCTTGGGCTAGCGGCGTATTTGCACAAGTATTCACGCAATTACGCCGAGATGACTGTGCACCTCTCTCGTTTGTTGAAAAAGGATGAGAGGTGGTCATGGAACGCTGAATGTCAGCGCTCCTTTGATGGTATCAAGAAGAGCTTGATACAATCCCCAGTACTAGCGATTGCAGATCAGGACAGACCATTTCATGTGGTCTGTGATGCCAGCGATTTCGCAATCGACTGTGCATTATTGCAGTACGATCTTGAAGGCGCTGAACGCGTCGTCTGCTATCAGTCGCGTCAGCTGCAACCAGCTGAGCGGAACTATCCGGTGCATGACAAGGAACTCCTTGCCATGAGGTACGCACTCGCAAAGTTCAGAGTCTATCTATTAGGAGATAGACCCTTCATTGTTTACACTGACCATGCGTCATTACGCACGGCAGTAAACAGCCCGCACCTTTCACAACGAATGGCGCGGTGGTTGTCATTCTTTGCAGAATACAACTTTACGGTTGAGTACAAACCAGGACGACTTAATGTCGTCGCTGATGCACTCTCACGTCGTCCCGACTTTGAAACAGTCGCGAAACCCAACAGTGAGACAGTCACTGTTGCGGTTATGACGTCCTCAGTCCCATCTACAACGTTGTATGATGATGTGAGGCGGGCATACGCCCAAGATGGTGAGATAGTGAAGTTGTTGACACATCTCTCACAGCCATCTCGAGAATCGTTGAAACGATTGTCGTCTGCGTATCGATCTGCATCAGAGCTCTACACTACTCGCAACGGTTTACTGTATTATACAGCCGCTACTGGTGACACACCACGTGTTGTCATTCCAGATGATACTGATCTGCGTTTGCGGATCATGTTCGAGTATCACGATGCTCCTATAGGAGGACAGCGTGGCCGAGAAAACATATCTCACGGTGAGTCGAGACTTTTACTGGCCCCGCCAGTATCAGTTTGTGCGAAAGTACATTCGCGCATGCGAAGTCTGTCAACGAGTGAAGTCAAGTCCTTCACTGCGTGCACCTTTACAGCCTCTACCGGTTCCGGCTGAGTGCTGGGAATCCATCTCAATGGATTTCGTCTTCGGGTTACCCAAAGACGCACGCGGGAATACGGGTATTCTCGTTTTTGTTAACAGATTCAGCAAAATGGTACACCTTGTGGCTGTACCAGAGTCAATCACGGCAAGTGGCTGTGCTTGTGTCTTTATTGACACCATCTTCCGACTTCATGGGTTACCCCGTGAACTCGTATCAGACAGAGATCCACGCTTCACCGTTGATTTCTGGCGCTCCGTGTTCAAATCACTTGGAACGCGCTTGAAGATGTCGACATCTGATCATCCCGAGACAGATGGTCAGACGGAACGAGCCAATCGTGTCCTCAATGAGATACTTCGAGGATACGTACACTACTTTAAGAGTTGCAGTGAGTTCTTGCCAATGGTAGAGCTTTCCATTAACAACTCGGTGCATGCGTCCACGACACATACACCGTTTTACGTGAATGGATTGCGCCATCCGCGTGTACCCACCTTACTCGAGTGTAACTCTGGTTTAAGGGGGGGAGAGACTCGCGCGAGCAAAAACCGATTTGGATCACGCTCATCACGCTCTGACGAAGAGGTCATTGCGTTTGATGCCGATATCGATAACATCGATATTGAAGAAGATGATGCCAGTGAGAGTGCGGAATCCCTCACTGAAGAATATGATGCCAGTGAGAGTGCGGAATCCCTCACTGAAGAAGATGATCCCAGTGAGAGTGCGGAAGCCCTCACTGAAGAAAAGGTTGATGTTGCTGCAGTGCACTCACAGCGCACTGAAGCTAACGAGCCAGCAGATGAGTTCATACTGGCTCGTGAAACGGCAGTCCGTTTTGTGCAAGATTCCATCGCCGAAGCGGTGGATAAGCAAAAGCAAAACGCTGACAAGAATGGAAGGGCAAACACTCTTCAATTCAATAAGGGTGACTTAGTCCTACTGTCTACGGTTAATCTACCAAAGCATGTAGTGACTAACTTGGGTAGCAGTAAACTACTACCCAAGTACATTGACCCGTTTCGTGTATTGCATCGCCTAGGCAATGCATACACGATCGAGTTACCACGTAAGATGCGAACGCATCCCACGTTTTACGTTGGTCGGCTTAATCCGTACCATCAGTACGCTGCTTCTTCCGATGAAGAACGCCCTTGCGCTCAAGCATCTCGCAGAGAGCCTTGTGCTCCCGATGGTGGGCATTGACAAGGGTCTGAAGAGCAGATGTCTCAGCCCGAGAACGCTCAACATTCCCACGAGCTACCCTTAGCTCGTCACGCAGATACGTCAGAGCTCTCTCGTTCTCAAGCTGAGCAAAGGCAAACTCAGATCGATGCTTCGAGACAGTGTGCGCGGTTGGATACGCCTGTCCCGCTCATGTTCAGATCGCCGCGTAACCCTTGCGTTACGCGATCAAAGAAGCTCTCGGGAACACACGCTTCCCCACGATTGTGTGGAGAGCGTCTTCCCTCCTCCACCTCCATTAGAGGACTCTCGCGGTGGCCAGCGCTATCTGGTTGAGCAGCTGTTGAACCACCGCGACGTGAACGGACGTCGGACGAGTCATCTCGTCCGGTGGCGCGGCTATCCCCCGTCCTGGGATACTTGGTAGCCCCGCTCCCAACTGATGGTTGACATACTGGGTCTGGTAGAGCAGTACAACGCGGCACATCTTGTGCCGCAGAAGGACCGCCGGAGAAAGTCTTCCCGGCCCGGTCGTAGAGGGATTTCAGGGTGTCAATCCCTTCGTACATCTCAGTAGAGATACGTACGCGCCACCACGGGCTAGTAAGGAGGTAAGCCTCCTTAGGTGCTCGTGCAGAGTTGTTCACACAACATGGGCACGAGTCTCCCCAAGAGAGGCAGGGTAATCCTTTCTCCCTTGACAGACGATGCAGCTTGTAGCGTGCACCTGTCGGGGTTCGCTTTTCAAACTTATCACGAGCTTTGATAAGTTTGTCGTTCCAAGCGTCACGACCTACATCCTCGAGGTTATGGATGTAGGCGCTCCACGCTTGAAGCAGTGAGGGACCATCACGTTTGTGATTCCCACTGTACCATCGATGTTTGAAGAAAGCATCGATGAAGAATTCATGTTCAGCGCGATAGTCTTTCGCGCTGGGGCCAAGGTGATGGATCCTTGACGAATCGAATAATCGTGTTCGATAACGATCACTCGTCGTCGCCGACAAGTGATCCATGACGCATTTGGAAGGCGTCCATGCCTTATTCTCGGGAGCGAGACGCAATACACTGCGGTCCCGCTCTTCTTGCGACGTGCCGACAAAATTACTGGCGCCTCCTGCGAAGTGGTGTCAATAGGAGAACCGACACCACTGTTAGCGCCCGAGTCTTGCGACCTCGAGCGCCTTCGCTTCGGCGATGGTTCATCTGATTTGTCAGATGAACCATAGATGCTACGACGCGTAGCATCATCCATGCCACGCTTGGCAGGCGGATTGGTTTCGATGGCCGTCGATACGGATCCGTCTTCCGTATCGAGAGAGTATGAGACACCGAGCTCATATTCTGTGAAGACTCGAGTGTCTTCATGACGAGCGCCTGCATCACCAGGTGACGCAGGCTGAGTCGCTTCAGCAACCGATGAGACATCGGTTGCTGTTGTTTCTGCTTCGGCGTCCGCACAGAGACATGCGGACGCGCTCTCGGCGGCCTTGTTCGCGCATCGCATGGGCTTGTTTACCATGCGATGAAATGTTGGAAAGTGGACGCGGACCAACAAGTGCAAACCCCGTCCCAAATGATTTGGGACGAGTATCCATTTAGTCAATCAGTCACTACAGTGACTGATGGTTAAAGGGGGGGTGATGTAACAGGGTGAATAGTTACATAAAAATTTATAAGAAATTGTTAATAGAATATAACTATAAGAGTTATATTCTCAGAATATTGTCATAAGGACAATATTCTGTAGCACTTACGAGTGGTTCCTAATTGGTTGATATAGGCCATTATATCAACCAACGAAGACGCGCCACGACAGACGCACGCAATGAGTGGTGAGCAGATAACTGATTTACACATTTGTATTCAGACATAGTTAGATGAGGATAAATAGTGGTTTATTGACAGACATTAACTATGATAAATACAGTTCTACTTTTTACTTATAACAAGTACTCGCTTCTTCGTACAGTCTTCCTTTGCACGTACCAGTGTACGTGAAGTTCAGAGGCACCGCCTTATTCTGTCATCAGGATAAGTAGCTTGTACTGTCACCAGTACAAGCTTCAGGGTTCCAGGGTTCAATCCGGGCATCTCAAATGTAACAGACTCACACGTATTTGGGTACCTGGTATCATGTGTCTTAGACACACGGATGACATCCCACTGAAAGAGATATAGAATATCTTATCGGTTTGTAGGGTCCGACTGGTGCTAGCCACTGGATAGGAGAGATCTTAGTTGTACTAACTTAGATTAAGATATTCTATAGGTGTAAATGTAAATTAATCTCAGTTTCACTTTTGATCTTAAAGACACGTGCCTTGCGAGGCGTCTTTGGTCGTTGATCACTGATCACTAAGAGTTAGCAACACCTCCCTGAGGCATCTAGTTATTCTTGATCACTACGTGCTGTCGATTCGTTGAATCGTTTGGTCCTCTGGAACAAGGACCATAAGCTTTACGCTTGTTGACTCATTGATTCTAGTGCTTTAGAACTAAGTTGCTCGTTGAGCGTTAAGTCTTTCTATTAATGAAGGAGCGGTGTAGTTTCGCTACACTTGGTAGCACTAGTAGTCAATCTACGTCTGATTTTATATAGACTGATCCTCTGTGAGGATGGAAAACCTCACCCCCCTCTCTGGGGCCCAAACGGTCGCGCTTGATAAGCTGACCAGATCTTTGGGTCCAGAGTGCGTGGAGTTCCTTGTCTCACAAGGCCCTGAGGTGCTAAATGCACGTGTTGAAAGCTTCATGCAGTATGAAGTGACCTTTCTAAAGCAGTTCCAAGACCAAGTAGCGTGGGCTATGCCTACACGCTATGTGTCTGAGCCCGGATTAAGAGGATAGGCCTCGTCCACTTAGAGTGAAATTTAAGAACTACTCCGGTAATGAGGGTGAAAACCTCGTCGTCTGGATTCGTGAGATTGAGATGGACATGAGATCAGGCCTGATCAAGCTTGACCATCAACAGGTCTCGCCGGCTATCTCAAAAGTTCGATGGAAGAGCTAGAGAATGGGATTTGACGTGTAGTACGTCGGTTGACTTAGTATTCCCCACATTAAAGTCGCTTAAGTCACAACCGGTACAGGTGTTCTCACCACCTAACCTAGCTTACCACGTGCGTTCACGCTTTTTGTCTACCCGTCAGGGTTAGAATGAAATATTGAACTATGTCCAAGATTTGAGATATCTCAAAGCTGCAATGCAGTCTGATCCTCTGCCCGAGACAGCTCATGTGACTATCTTCATGGAAGGGCTTCGTACTGACATTACCAGAGCCGCAGTTTTTCGGGTTCGCCCCTCTACGTTCGAAGAGGCTGTGATAATACTATTTCTCTTAATGCTGAGCATAACTTTAAGTCGGCCAGGCTTGGCTGGAATGGGTACAACCCTAGCTCTGCGAGAGCAAACTCCACAAGTGGTCCGGCCTTTAACAGGCCAGAACCGATGGATCTCAGCTATGCTGAAGATGAAGGTGAAGCTGAACTTCAAGCTGCTGAGCAGCAACGCGTTGTACGACGATGTTTTACGTGCGGAAACACTACACGCTTGCGACCTGGTTGCCCTTTGCATAAACAGCGTCAGGCTACAAGTCAACACTCCACCCCGAGCCAGAAGTCTGGCATGGAACGGGGAAATGCCGACGCCCAGTAGGCGCGGGGCGCCCTACTTGGGAAGAACTGGGTTCTGTTACACATGTAGGAGGTAAAGCTAAACAGAGCTTAGCCCCAAAGAGCTCCGTGCCTATTGGTATGGAGCGTGGATACAAGTCTGGCTTGTTAGTCGCCGAGGCGAAAATTAAGGGCTTTAAGAGGCCTTGGTCGATATTGATCGACTCTGGAGCGTCTTGCAATTATTCTCGACGTCGTTCTTGAGGTAAGTCAGGGTTATGCTGAGGCGCTTACAGCATATGAGAGTGATTCTATCACGGTTCGTTTAGCGACTGGAACTCGCGTTACTGTGCCTAAAGTTCCATGTAACTTTGGTATAACGTTTTTAGACTTTGACAGCATTGAACGCTGTCTTGTCCTTGATTTAAACTCTAGATATGATCTCATCCTTGGTATGACTTGGCTTGAACGCCATGAGCCACGAGTTAATTGAAGGTCGAAGACCTTAGGCGCCACGCGCAACGTTCCTAGTGAAGTTTTGGAGAGTCATGAACCCACCTTCGCTAGGCAAAAGAAGCACTACTGGCGCGAGCCTTTGGCTGAAGATGTCAATGTGCTGGATATTGGAATGTCTGAGCAGTCTAACTCCAATGATGTAGACATAGATTCCGAGCGTAGCTCGTTAATTATCGGTGATACGACACGTGCTCCGTTGAGTGTTACTCGTTGTGATAACGAGTCACTTCATGCTAAAATCATGGTTGGCCTAAGGCCGGATTATCAAGGATGTGATTCCTTTGATGTGTGTGAGGTGGCACGCGAAAATTCACCGATTGTGGGCGGCCGTGAGGGCACCACACTTAATGTCGTTAACAACATTGTTGGCGAAACGCCGTTCAGTTCGGGGCTCAGCCCGCGTATGTACGTGGGGTGGCACGTGATAATCCATTGGGTAAAAAGTTAGAGTTATTCAACCCTTCACCGGGTGTCGATCAAGACATCGGCTCTCGTATAAAGCGTACTAATTTTAGTAGTAATAAAAGAGACAGCTGTGTCCCGACCCTTAAAGGAGTGTAAGGTCTCCAAGAGACGACTTGGACGTCAGATGGCAACTGTTAAGCGCCAAGCGTCCACATAGTCACTGAGTGATAATAGTAATACACTATATACGCTTGTGCATGAAGTGACCGGTCAGGTTGATGGCAATATGGCCTTGAAACCCTTCCATCTTTGGATGCTCTGTGTGAGCTAGACGAAATGCCTGATGGCGAGTTTAGCTAGACCTTAAAGACAGGAATTTATCCCAACTAGTGGTCATTAGACCCGATGTCGAGTTGAACTCGTCCTCATTTATGGATGAGTCGTTCCTAGAGGGCGCTAAGGCGCACTCAGTGCGCGAAGTGGATCTTCGATCCTTAAAGATCCTTTAGATCCATTTTATCCTTGTGTGGTGTGTCCAAACCTACTGTCTGCCATACCACCTGATAGAGGTGTACGTCATGAAATTCAGTGAGTTCCAAGAACTAAATACTGCGTAACACGGCAGTGGCCTTTGCCTGAGGAACAGCGTGACGTCATCGAAGACTTCTTTCATGCTAAGCACGCGGCTATAATGGTTCGTGAGAGTAAATATCCCCATTCAACACCGACATTTTGTGTCAAGAAGCCAAATGGCAAGTGTCGCATTGTGAATGCTGATAATAAGCTTAATGCAGCCACTTTACCGGTGCAGACGCCTATTCGTAGAATGGATGTTCTACCGAACAATATGGTAGAGTGTACATTGTACAGTGCCCTCGACTTAGCCGATGGTTATTACCAACTCCTCATGCGAGCGAATGATATTCCGCTAACTGCGGTGAGTACTCCGAGCGGTATGCTTTGGGAGTGGATCGTTATGCCACTAGGTCTGTCGAACGCTCCGGCTACTTTTAACCGTCTGGTGACGCAACGGTTTCGACCTCATCACGGTTACGCACAGAAGTACTTTGACGACATCTTTGTCCATAGTGGCGCAACGAATGTTCGATCAGATGTGGATAACCACATCGATCATTTACGAGCGGTGCTCGAGTGCATGCGCATGAATAAATTGTACACTAACGCGTCTAAGTGCATCTTTGGTGCAGAAAAAATCCCTTTCGAGGGTGTTTTGTTGGGAAGCGAGGCCTTCGAGCGGACCCCGCTACGGTAAAGGCCACATTCGAATGGCCAGTTAATAAGAACCAATAGGGATAACGTATGTGGCTTGGCCTTGCCAATTACTTGCATAAGTATAGTGCGAATTACGCAGACATGGCTAGGTCATTTTCCAATCTCCTGAAAAACGATGTGGATTGGCGTTGGGGGCATACCGAGCACGATGCTTCTAAAGCGGTTAAGGAGAGTCTCCTTCATGAGTCAACATTGGCTTTCCTGATCCTGATCGGCCCTTTAGTGTCGTCCGTGACGCACCTGAATTTGACATTGTCAGTGTTCTGTTACAAGAAGACGTTGATGGACGTGAGCGCGTCATTGCGCTCGAGTCTCGCTAGCTTAAAGCTGCTGAAAAGAACTACCCTGTTCATGACAAAGAGCTACTTGCTATGAAGTATGCTCTAGTCAAATTCAGAGTACGTCTGCTTGGCTCAAGACTTTTGTGATCTATACAGATCATCGATCATTTCGCACTGCTACACAGTCGCCACATCTCTCTCAGAGAATGGATCGTTGGCTCCCTACTTTGCCGAATACAACTTCGAGGTGAAGTATAAGCAAGGGAAGCAACATTCCTTGGCTGATGCGCTATCGCGCTAACCTGACTATGAGCTTGCTCATGTTACGACACTGTCGTCATCAGTCCCTGACTTGTTCCGAGTGGCTTATGCCAAGGACGAACAGTGTGTAGCTTTG